TAGGGTCAGTAAGAGTTTGCAGAATTTTGTTACCCCAGAACTTTTGGGTTTGGGTAACAAGAGTGGCAAAGTGAACAACATGTGAAGGAGTAATATTTCTGTGTGTTTTCCCAGGCATGAGGACGATGGTAGATGATAAATCTAAAAGAGCAATTGGGGTCAGCTTGGGAGTGGCCTTACAGGACAGGCTGCAGATTATGCATTTTTATCTCGTGTAGGATTTCTGTAAAGGAGGCACGTTATCGTATGTGTGGTGACAGTGTGCAGGCTGGGAAAAGAGTGAGCATACAGAGAAAAGAGGGTTTTCCTTTTGTATTTAGAGAAAAATCAGTGGGTCCTAGGCAACTGAGAGCAGCTCTGGCTAAAACTACAGAAAAACAGTAGGAATAAAATTTAATCACAGAAGCAAGCCAAAACAAACCCAGAAGGTAGCGTGATTGAGAAACACACCCCCAGTTCAGTCAGGGAGCCCCATTATTGGAATTCTCCAACTAAAGTTCAGAACAAACGTTTCAGGAGATAGTGTTACCAGAAAAAGTATGTGATGCTCAGTTAAATTCGAATTTCTAGATAAAGAATAATTTTTTAGTGTTAAGTATGCCTATGCAACATTTGGAATATACTAAAAACTTTTTTTTGTTAGTCTGAAATTCAGATTTAACTGGGTGTCCTATTATTTGTATTTGGAAACTCCAGTAATCCTAGTGTAATTTAAAAAAAAGGGTCATGAAAAGGCCTAGTGGTCAGACTCAATTATTTTTTTTAATGGAAGTGTTAACCACATTTGTTTGGAGGTTTGAGGTACAGGCCCCAGTGAGGCATTCAATAGAACACGGGGGCAATCTTTTGGGGAGTGTTTTCTACATTCAAGGGATTTCACCTTATGAGATTGTGAAGAAGAAAAATGAAACTGGAGAAAAGGGAAAATTCAAACCATTGAAAGCATGTAATATTCAGCAGACTAGATTGACAGCGTCCTGTGTATTCCAGCACACAAAACGGGGTGTCTTCCTTGCCCAGAGCGGTCATCCATGTTCCTGGATCAGATGTGAACAGGGCTGGGTGCCATTGTTGGTAATGCTCATGCTGTACAGTGGCCCCTGTGTTCTGGCTCCTGCTGTTATTGAGGCTCTAAAAACATTACAAAACCCCAACAATAAGCAGTCTGCTGAGAATGTGAGGTCATAGTAATGTGACCTCACTGGGAGCCGGTTCTTTGGAATCCCTAGACCAGCAGACACCAGAGATGTGGGGTGAATGGATACTGGGAAGGGGCTTAGGAGAGGAAGGATGGCCCAGGCGCATCCTGGGCTCCATGATGAGCTTGTCCTGGTGTCTGTCTGATTGCTGGTGAGTTTGTATTGCTGTCATTTCACAGACTTTCTGATTTAAAAGGAACGACCTCTGTTCTTATTCAAGGAATCTCATAAATTGTGAAATAGTACAGAATGAAGCCATCTAGGAATGGAGGTATTTAACCCATTATTCCTAATTTTCTTTTTACTGAGAATCCTGAGAAGTCTGGTGTCTGTAGATTTTATTATTACCTCCTGGTGTATGTGATGAGCAAAATAAGAAATAGACTGGGTGGGGCAAGGTAGTAGAAAGAGGAGGCAAGTGTGAGGAATGAGAGGCCTGAACAATAGGAATGCTTTGGGCTACTACATTTAAAAAATGTATGCTCATTAGGATAAGTCTCTTGTATATGAATAAAATCTCTGCAGTGTGATGTATGTGGTATAATAACATGTTTTCCTGGAGTAATTAAGTATGTGAATTTGCCCTGAGAAGTGAACATTAAGTACTAGTTTAACCGAGGAGAAAATCCTTTCTTTGACATTTATTTTTTGGCATGATAGCTAATATACAGAGTAGTAAGAGAATGCATGGGAACACAACTCCAGGGATTTTTTTTTAATTTATAAAAATTATTTGATTTTAACAAATAGTTGTTATTGGAGCAGATATTTGACATTTATGTCACTCATGTGAGAAAGCACAGAGTTGAGTTGCCTTTAAAAGAAATTTCTTCTATGCATTTACTTACAGATTTGCCACATATAATAATTATTCGGTTTTCCGATCAGATAAATTTCACAAAACTCGCTGGTAATGTGAACTCTCTAAAGGAAGGTTTAGGATGAAAAAATATTTAAGTATTTGCATGAAGACCTCGTCATGATGAAGCAATGTATTGTGATTGGAGGTATTTCTGCTGGAAAGTTCTTTAAGGTGGCCGACTGTTTAAGGAGGGTTCCCAAACATCCTGGTTTCCCTGCATCAGCTGCAGGTTGGCTGTTGTACTGGAAGTGACTACACTTCAGTATTTCATTTTGACTCTAACTTTGTATACCCCTCTGGACATAGACAACAATGTGGTGAAGTTAGGGGTGGGGAGCGGCTGGGGGAGGAAAGGGGTAAAGAGGGGGAAATGGAGGATATCTGTAAGAGTGTTAACAAAAAAAAATGAAGGAATATCATTAATAGTTGCAGTACAGTAAGTCAGCATGGGGTTGATAAACCTCCCCTTGTATTTCCACCTGCCTGCAGTCTGTCCTGGAAGGTGTGAGTTGACACGTGCATTGAACAGAATTTTCACATAGTTGATGAGTCTCAAAGATGATATGGGGGTAACCTTTCTTTTTTTTTCCTTCCTGATAGCCTCCTTTCAGGAAGGAACTGGGAGCCGGGGGAGGGTCCTGGGGATAGTTAACTCCCTCGGGTCTGGCAGCGGTGGGGGACTCCGCAGCCCCTGCAGTCACGGGGAGCACCAGCGGATTGTGCGGTAGCCCACCCGCATTTGGCTGATAGTGAAGCTGCCAGGCTAACACTGAGTTGGTGGATGAGTGGAAAATGCGAAACTGAAATTTGGATGGAATAAGTAACAAAATAGAGACTGAGCAGTTTTTAAAATACTCATTTTTGCTGAAATGATTTTTGTTATTTATTACATGATATGAGTCCACAGCTAATTTTTTCCTATTGGTAATGCTTTTTTATTTTACTTGTAACAACTATGATTACATATTTAACAATTTGATCATCCCTGGTCCTCCTTCAGAGTGTCCGGTTTAGACAGTGAATGGTCGCTGTACTTACAGTTCAGGCGTAGTTAAAGAGGCACGGGATAGAGCAAGGACACTCGGCCTAGCCTGGGGACCCTTTTGGCCCTGCCTGGGGTGGATTTTATGTTTTTAGAGGCTGTAAAAACAAAAACAAAACAGAAACAAAGAAGCATGTGCGGCAGCGGCCTTCTGTGGCCTGCCATGTCCGAAACATTTACTGTCAGGTCCATGATGGAAGTCTAGAGTCTGTGGTGAGTGTGCTGGAAGGCTGCTCATGCACAGCAGTTTGTCAGGAACACAGTTTTGTTTAGTTACCAAGTTAAAGTGAGTACTTGGAGATTACTGCTCTCTCGTCGGTTCTGGTGTTATAAATGGGTGGTGTAGCACTGTACAGCCAGCCACAGGCTGTAGTTTGTGACCCCTTTCTGGAACAGAGGCCTCACAGTGTGGTTTGGGGGGCTTCCCAAGACCCTTTCAGAAGGCTTGTAAGGTCAAGTTTATTTTATGGTAACAGGACAGCATTATTTTCCTGTTTCACTGTGCTGATATTTGCACTGACGGTGCAAAAGAGTGGGGTGGCAGTGGGGGGTCTTGGCACAGATCCAGGGAGCAGCACCAAACTGTTCTGGTTGTTGCTGTGTTGCACTTTACTGCTGTGCACTTGAAATGAAGACAATGGCCTTGATAAAACAGTGCAAATTGATTACATTTCAGCCCTTGACTTAATGCCTTTTTAATTCCTCACCTGATGAAAATATGCATAAAGCACCTCTGCACCTGTTGGTTGCCTGCAGGAAAAGCACTTGTATGCAATTAGGTTTGTGAGCTGGAAAACACTCCCTTTCTTCGTGGAACACTACTTTTCCTTCAAAGTATGACTGGAAAACTGTGGTTATTGGCAAACATTCTCTTGAAAATTAATGGAGTGGGCCTGTTACTTTAAGGAAAACAACTGACAATTTCTGTTGCTAATGATAAAATGTGAGCTTTCAATAAAAAATCAGAAGTTTGGAACAATTATATCTGTGCAAAAGTTTGACAGCTTCCCAGTTCTCAGACTTTTCTGAAGATATTAGTGGTGACATTAATGAGTGTGATTTTTTTTAATGTAGTGTACTAAAATGTATGGAACTATTTTTCAAATGACCATTGCATGTTGCAGAATCATGTGTGGGTAAAAGATTCATTCAAAATGTAAGTCAGATTTTAATATGAGTACAAAAAGTTCATTGATGCAATTTTGGAGTCTGTATTGCAACCAACCTTTAAGAAATTACCACTTGTTTTAGTTTGGTGTCATAATCAGAATAGAATATCTATAATTATCTGAAAAGGAAATTAAAATTAACGAAATATCTCTATGATGCTGGATTTTCTTAATCTTTTTCAACCAAAACAACATATTTTTACAAATTAACTGTTGTAGTGGCTGTGGGAATCCAACTGTCCTCTAGTAAGGCAGCCATTGAAGAAATTTGTAAAAAATGTAAACCATGGTTGCTTGTCTCACTAAACTTTATATTGTTTTGGAAAATATAGTTATCTTTAATAAAAATATATTACTTATATTCATGGAATGGATTATTTTTAAATGAGTTAATATTGGAAACTTTTTTATTTTAATTAGTAATATGGTGGATGTCAGTGGGTATAACCCACGTAAACAAAGGTCTTTGGAGTTCTGCTCCATACTTTTAAAAATGTAAAGGTCCCAAGACCAAAAGGTTTGAGAACTGCTATCCAGGGTTTAAGCAATCACTTCATTAGCACATTAACATATAGTAATTGAAAATATTTTTATGAATAATTAGGTATACAATAATCTCATTTAAAATGATTTTTTGTTGGTTCTACATCATCATGATAATTTCACCAGCTATTTTCCTTTTTGCCACACAAGAAAATCTTTTCAATTTTTTTTCCCCTCCTTTTCAGTTCTCACAACCATGCTCGGGTGAAAACAGCCCTGCTAGAGCCTCAGTCTGAAATGGGGAACACGGAGATTCTGGAAAGGGAGCCCTTAGAGAATCTCAGCAATGGCACCAGCAGCAACGTGGAAGCTGCCAAAAGGCTGGCCAAACGCCTTTATCAGCTGGACAGATTCAAAAGATCGGACGTCGCAAAGCACCTAGGCAAGAAGTACGTTCTGCCCCACAGCCGGTTGTCTGTGTGCGAGTGTTAATATCAGCTTCGATATTACTAACCAAGTCTGTTGTGTTTCCTTATAGCAATGAATTCAGCAAACTAGTTGCAGAAGAATATCTGAAGTTTTTTGATTTCACGGGAATGACGCTGGATCAGTCTCTCAGGTAGGATTAAACATCACTTCTGTTCGTTTTTGCCTCCATAGGATTTCTCCAAAGAAGAGAAAGTAATGTGCTAAAGCTAAAATCTGGTTTTATTTTTTTAAACCCACGGTTACTTTATGAATTTAGCCCAGATTGTACTGGAGATATTAAATGTACTATAAAGTAAGAAAATACATCTTGGGTTTAGGAAATCCCAGAAACTCATGTTCTGCATGATGTGGTAAAGAATGCTGGCAGTGGAGGTCTTGAGGAGAAGTCGAATCTGCGGGAATTTGGTTTTTGGATGATTAATTTTTTAAAAAAAGGCAGTATACAGACTGTAGAATTTTAGATATTTTTCCTAAGCATTTGTTTACCATACTGATTAGACTTTTAAGACAGTGTTTTAGAATTAACTCATGGATGGAATAAAAATGAGGATCAACATAATAATCAGCAGAAAGTATCAGTATAAGTGGTTAGGCCGTAACACTTTTTTGCTGACCTGTTCAGATGAAGCTGTCTTAAACACACTGGTCCTTACTTTTCACACCGTATCGTACTGTACGTTTCTAAGAGCAGCTAAAGGCAGAACCGAGTCAGCATCTAATCTTATGAAGTCTATAACCTGTCAGAGCCTGGAGGGATTCTGAGATCATCTACATGGCTGTCTAGTTGTACACATCAGATACTGAGGCCTGGGAGGTGAAGTGAGGATGTTTGGATTATAATGCACGTAGTGACTTCTTCTGTGGCTCTTTGCATGAGTCCAGGATACTCATACTTCATTTGCAATGAAGACAGGTAAGCGTGGAGGAGAGATCTGTATTTTTGTTTTGCTCTCCTACGTGGCTTATTTTTAAAAAGTTGAAAAAAATTAAAATTTGGTCAGTGTAACTTAGATTAACAAACTATAAGGAAAACAGCAATATTTTTCATCATAGAAATAATGTTTATTATATGTTTCTTTCAATAAGATTTCTTAGAGCATTTTAAATGAAGTTTTCTTCTTCCCATCTCATGTTTTGGAGACTATATCTGCTTTGTCAAGTGAGGAATGCCTGGATTTATCTATATTAATAGACAGTACTCTCAGTGACTCTGCTTTAGAGTAGTGTGTGGTTCTGGGCATATTTTCTATTGTTAAAAGAAGTTTTATACTAAACAAATTGATTTATTCCTAATTTATGGAGTAAATTGAGTTTTATATCTCAGTTTCCTTCTCATGTAGCAATTTAATAATGTGGAGATATAGGCAAAGTAAAATTAACAGAAATCTGTGCACAAGACAGTAAAGTAGTAATTTTAATACTGGGTCAGTGGCAATGACAGTCATGTAACAAAACGACAAAGAAACTGTGATCCGTGTAGAGTTTGAAAGCAGAGCCTGCGTGGCTGCGCGGTCAGTCTGGTGTGCTTTGGTTCTCATCCAGCTGGTCTTCTTAACTCACAGCCTGACACTTAGTTGTATGGGGAGATCGCCTACCTTTCCCAGGCTTTCCTTGGTGTTAACAGCCCTGTCATCTTTTACCTGAACATTCAAGAGAATTTAAATGTCAATACAAATTTATACTGAATGGCCATCTAGTAAGTGATTTTTTTTTAAGTAACTGCAGAATATTTTCCTTTGTGTAAAATATTTATTATGTCTATATGAATTAACTTTAACTGTTATACATAAAGAGTATAGTAACATTTTCTAAAAATTTTTGTATTCCCCCCCTCATTTTTTTTTTAGGTATTTCTTTAAAGCATTTTCTCTTGTGGGAGAAACTCAAGAACGAGAGCGAGTTTTAATACACTTCTCCAGTAGATATTTTCATTGTAACCCGGATACCATTGCTTCACAAGGTAATCTGATGGAAATGCCTGATTTTTTTATCCTCACACAAGGACACGCTTACTGATTTTAGAGAGAAGGGGAGGGTGGGAGAGGGAGAGAGAGCACATGAACGAGAAGCATCAGTGTGAGAGAGAAACATGGATTGGTTGCCTCTCATATGCATCTCAACTGGGACCAAACCCACAACCCAGGAGGCATCGACCTGACCAGGAATTGAACTGTGAATTTCAGTTTACAGAACAATGCTCCAGCCAACTGAGCCACACCAGCCAGGGCTTGAATTTCTTTTTTGTAATAAGGGTTATTTTCCTCATTATGAAAGTTACGTTTTGGTGGGAAATATAGAAAATTATACAAAAGAAACTTAAAATAATCTAAATATTTCTATCTAGAGATAACTATTATAAATAATCAGATTTACTTCTTTGTAGTCTGTTAGGACAATATTTATTTAATGTCAAGTTGGAATGTCATCATTAGAGAGTTGTTTCCTACTGTCTTTCCCTTTCATTGTGAGCATTTTCTCATGCCATCAAATCTTCTTTAAAAAACATATTTATCAATGCACGATATTCTTTATGGTCCTTTCAGTCATTTTTCTCTATTTTCCAGTTCCATAGTATTCTTTACATTGTTTACACTTTGTCGCTCTGAGATTTTATGTGCAAAATGGATTGTAATAAATGAAATTCCAGTTTTCTTATTTTCTTTTCCTGAACATCTGATCTCTAAATTTCTTGATGAAGTGCATGTGTGCTTAGTTTCAGGTTAGTTTTGGAAATATAAATCTCACTGGAGTTTATGGTGTGTCTGGTGCTTTTGTTTGATATTCATCAAAACAACACTGACCACTGACTTTGGTTTATGATTTTAATGAACCATGAGTTTGCTTATTGTACTATTTTTATTTTTTAATTTTTAAATTATACTTTATTGATTATGCTGTTGTGTTGTCCTAATTTTTCCCTGTTTGCCCCCTTCCACCAGCACCCCCCACTCCCTCAGGCAATCCCCACACCTTTGTTCATGTCCATAGGTCATGCGTATAAGTTCTTTGGCTATTTTTGAAAAGCAACTTTAATTGTTGCTATACCCTATGAAGAGTGATTTCTTCTCCATTTCGATTCTCACAATAAAGCAAAGTTTTCAGGGTTTGAAGTCAAGCACATTTACTTAGAATTGGAGAATCTCCCATAAAGAGACAAACTCTGGAATAAATCTCTGAGACTAGATGCCCTAGAAATAGTAATGACCCCTTAGTTTTAGTATTACCATTTAGTACGAGAACCATACTAAAAAATACGGTTCTCGATTCTGAGTGGAGTGAGTGCCCCCACCCCTCTGTCCTGCAGGCGATAACTGTCTGATTATTAAAGCCATATTCTTATCTGTGAGATGGAAACTTATTTTTCTTATTCCTTGCTTGGACTGTATTTAAGCCACTTATTCCGTCTCAATCACTGTCAATGTTGATAGCAAATGCAAGGGACATAAGAGGGCTGTTTTTACTGGAACCTTCTTCAAATCCAAGATGCTGACAGTCTGAATGAAATAAAGAACATGGATTTGTGCATTCACTTAGCTGTTGATAAGGAAATCAGAGAGTTGGCTGCTGGGTTTAACTTTCAGGAATTTGCTTTAAACATATTTAGAATTTGTGATAATCAACTGAAGCTGGAATAAATATTCTTTCAGGCATTTAGTAGCATCTACCAAGAGACATTGAAAACAGAAATCTACTATACTTAAAGGCATACTTTTGAAAAATAGGCTGTCTTTAATTCTTGAGTTCAGTAATTGGACAGGCCTTTCTGTGCAGTTAGCATAATTAATAAGGTTTTCCTAAGTGTGCAGCTGCTGTGCTTGGATTGAGAACTGCAGGGAGAGAGTACGGAGGAAACTAATTCTGAAGCTTGGAAATGAGAAGTTTAACTCAGTGCTTTTTCTTGTTTTATATAAAATAAGAGGAGTGATGTTTCTGTATAAGTGTAAATCCTTCTGGTTCAAGCAACTCTTTTCCCCCGCATATTTAATTTTTTAATTTTCACAGATAATTTCAGTATTCCACTTTTGTCTGACTCGTAGTATCTTGGACCATTCAGTCTAAATGTTTTTTTTGAATGGCAAGATTCATTTAAAAAAAAGAACAGCAAGAAAGAGGAGCTAACTATTCCAGCCTATATATTTTTGGCCAGAGAACTGGAATCCAGACAGTAAACTGTGGAAGGTGCAAACTGTGGCTTTCTTTAACTTTTGCTTCTTCCCGAATTCACTTTCCTCCCAAAAAGTAAAAAACGTAACAGTATTAAGTAATTTATTATTTTCATGTCTTGTGTTAAAAAAAATTGAGGAGGCATAAATAAAAAAATAAAAATTATAGTCTCACTCTCCAGAGATGATAATCTTTTTAAATATTACCTTGCACAGTATTGTAGGTATATTTATACTTAAAAGGAACCATACTGCAGATATGCTTTTCATGTAATAACTTATTGTGAAATGTCTTTCCACTCTACATGATACTTGGATGACATTTTTAATTACTTAAACATAAAAGAGTTATGTTTTGAGGGGCTCATATTTGTTTCCTATTATAAGCAATGTTTCTTTGAATATCCTTGTATTTTGTGTACATTTTTAGTTCCTTAGTGTAAAGCCCTAGAAGTAGGTTTGCTGTGTCAAAGGCCATTGTTTCAGAGTTTGTAGATGTGTACTCTCAGGTTGTCCTCCTAAGAGGTAGGAATAATTTACTTTATCCAGCAGAGTCCAACTCTGAGGTCTTTAATGATTTATTCTAATCTAATTTCTACCTCCCCAAACTAATAGGATGAACTATGCCTGGCTGCAATATGTGCTTTCATAGGTTCTTAGTGTAGGCTATTTTCATGATAGCAGGAGTCTAACAGGAAATAGTGAGTGAGAGCTCTCTGTCCCGTCTTTCTTTAGATGGAGTGCATTGCCTCACCTGTGCGATGATGCTGCTCAACACAGATCTGCACGGCCATGTAAGTGTGCAGTTGTGAACTGTCCACAGAAACCCGAAGTATCTCGGGCTTGTCTTTGCTTTTATGTTCACACATGCTTATTGTCTGCCCTCCGTCCCCTCATTCTCTTCATGGCAGGTAAGTACACATAAGTCTTTGGAAAAAGAAACTACTTACTTCACATGCTACCATGGAGCATAATTTTAGGGGAATGCCATATTGCCACATGTCTGGACTTGTATCTGTAATGTGTGTGTGTGTGTGTTCTCTACCTTCTTTCTCCACTAGATGGCAGAGGCAGAGCTTTTACTCTAATTTTTTGTTTTGTTTTTCATTTTGTTATTAGGGTTGATGTTTTATGATGGGAAGAGAGGATATAAGTTATATTTGAAACTGTTGGGTATGTTTTCACTAAAAACAGTTGTAAGTCTTAAGAACTCAGTCCTTTCTACACTTTCTGCACTCAGCTCACCTGATGTTTTACTGGTTGAAATATCAAAATAATATAATTACTCTCATCTTCTATTTAAAACATAGGATGAACTTAAATCTATAAATATATGTATAAACTTTCACCTTTCATAGATGTGAAAATTTAGCATTTAAACTCTTTATATTAGAAAAAATGAGGATGCTTTAGTTCAGTATAAATCAATGTGTACTCCTATAACACAATAATTATTTCACAGTTCTAAGCTCATTTATTTTGAAGAGAAAATCAAGTTTCTGTAGTTAAAGAGTCAACTTCATCCCTTGATTTGCTGTATTATTGACCTTACAATTTTAAAGATCACTTTAAAGGAACTGAAACTTAAATATTAGTCCAATTTGTTCCCCTGTTCCAAAGGACATATAATCCCCTTACTTAAAACTATGGTACTCCTCTTTAAGAAAGGCAGAAAGGAACTGTGAGAGGCCATTAAGATCGACTGGGGTGTGGGGGAGGGTTCTATCACCAGAAAAGTAAAGTGTATAGTGATAGTATCATAATTTTAACACTGTCTTCACAAACCTCACAATATTTCACTAGGAAGTTCCCCTTTGTAATTTGCAAGAGGTGAATTTAGAACAGGTTAGTGACTTGGAGACGTATGTAACATGTGCAGAGGTTTTACAGACTAGAAGTGTAGATACCCCAATGCTTTGCAGGGACATTCCTGGGCGTTAGAGTAGTAATATGTCTTGTGGAAATGAAAGTACTGGGATTCCGACCATTCGAGCCTTCAATAAGAATCAGAATCTAACATTCATCCAACTTGATACAGGGGTGACCAGTCAGTGGACTGTGCTGACCTCTGTTTTCTTGTTACCAGCAAAGCAAGTTTTCACTGCTTTCTGCCGTCTTATGACAACACTTGCAGCTCTGTTTCTTTCTTTCCTTCCCCCTCAATTTCTCAAACTAACTTTCAGCCAAAGGAGACAATTTTGAGTAGGCTTGACCAGGGGTGCCCAGCCCCCAGGCCACGGACCAGTAGTGGTCCGTGGCCTGTGGCCTGGTTAGGAACCGGGCTGCACAGCAGGAAGTGAGCGGTGGACCTGTGAGCTATCTAAGTTTTGTCTGTATTTACAGCCGCTCCCCATCACTCGCATTACCACCGGAGCTCGGCCTCCTGTCAGATTAGCGCTGTCATTAGATTTTCCCATAGGAGGGCAAACCCTACTGTGAACTGTGTATGTGAGGGACCTGGGTCACATGCTCCTTGTGAGAACTAAAGCCTGATGATCTCAGGTGGAGCTGAGGCGGTGATGCTAGTGCTGGGGAGCAGATGCAAATGCAGGCTATCATTAGCAGAGAGGTTTGACTGCACAGAGACCGTAATAAGTCAATTACTTGCAGACTCATATCAAAACCCTAAATGGCAAGTGGCAATTAGGCTGCATCTGGTGGCAGGCTATAAAGCCATCCACCGCCTCCCCGAGTCCGTGGAAAAATTGTCTTCCATGAAAGCGGTCCCTGGTGCCAAAAAGGTCGGGGATTGCTGGGCTTGACCACATGTCACATTAGCGATTCCCAGAATGAGGAAACTTTCCCACATCAGATATTGTGAGGTCTCATCTACATATCAATATTGTGCACTTAGTGTCTGTTGACCAAGAAAATGTGTAATGAAGACAAGAAATCAGTAACAGTTCAATTCTTACTTAAAGGTTGAGGATCTAATAGAAATTCTATGGAGGTTGCTAGATTTGGGAGATTTGTTCTATTAAAAGTGAATTGCTTTAATAATACTTTCAAATAAACATGTGTCTTATTAATCACAATAACTCAAAATAGCAGGAAATAAAGGTGTATTTGAGTAACTAATAAACAGTGAGGCCAGACCCACGGATCTCGGGTGTGCTCTGGCTTTCTCTCCAGGCCACTTTCCTTAGGGATTGAAAGGAGATTAAATGAGGCATCATACTTCTTTTTGGCAACTACAACATAAGAGACAATTTATTTAAATGAACATTTAAATATTAGCTTGAGTTGTGCCAATCATACATAATTAACAATTGGCTAAAGTGGCAGAATTACATATAAGAGGGAGAAAATTATAAAACAAGTAAATTTCTCTGCATCATCTTCAAAATCTTATTTTGGGTGATTATTAGTTCTCAGTTATGTTTTCATAAATGTGTTCTGTATACTTAAGGTCATCTGTTTAGGTGTTTTAATTAATGTTTTTAAATCCTTATTTATAATTTATATTGTTACAAGTCTGTTGAATGTGTAGTAGCTATCATAAGAACTAACTATATGAAAATGTGTTTCTCTTATCTTCCTCCCCTGGATTCATTTTAAAAATAAATTTTCCTTCTAGGTGGTAAGTTTCTATTCATTGCTCTGGATGTAGCTTCTCTTGCATCATGAATGCCTGGTTCATTGTTAGAGTGTCTGACTCATTAGCATGACCCCTGTGAAAATGAATCACTCAGAATATAAAGTGAATTATTCCTCTCCTCTGTCCTGTTCGCCTTTCTCCTTGTTTTGTACTGCCTAGGCCGTCACCTCATCTCTCATTACTTACTCCAATGCCACAGTAATCCTTGGGGGGCTGGACTAATAAGCCTCTTTGCTTTTCTTCCCTACATCATGTCATCATAGGGACACACCAGCATGACCCTTCTTAGAAGTGCTGAGACAGTCCTCGTGCTTTCAGAGGGGGAGACGTAACTGGGGAGGTTAACTTCTTTGGGCTGTTCTTTGAGAATCTTTCACATGGGTTTCATTGACTCGAAGGAGTGAAGCATTAGTATCGGCCTTTGGTCTTCCTACTAATTTTCTTACTAATAAAATGATGGAATGTATACTAATAAGTCTAATAGCATTACATGGTGAATGCCTTTGTGCCTTTCTTTTTCTAATTTATTCTCTCAGTCAACAAATACTTAGAGTGTGTCTACTCCATTCCAAGTTCTCTGCCATTTGGGTAAGGATCAGAAATGAATGAGTCATGCTCATGGAAGTCAAATCTCATTTCTGGTAGTGTTGGCCAGGCTGACCTCCACGGTCAAGTTTAACTGAAGAAACGGTAGCAGGTAACTGAGGTGCTGTGGTGGAAAAGCACTACAGAGAGATTTTCATTATACATTGGAGCAGAGTTAAACCTCACTAAGAAGGCTAGGAAAAAAACAATCTGAAGTGTATACAATATTTTGGGGAGAAATTCATTTAGCTGTTATAATTATCACATCAGAACTAAGAATGGCAATTTCCTTTAGTACCAATTTTTGAAAAATATGAATGATTTAGCATCATCTTAGCAATAGTCTTGACTTGCCTTTACTTGTCTGCAAGTGGTTTATTTTCATAAATATTTTATAATTGTGGCCACATGCCTAATTTGGTAAGTATTCTCTTTTTTTTTAAATGCTTCTTCATTGTGAAATATATATGTAAATTAAGCTTGCATACACAGGTAAATTTCTATTCAGACTAACTCTAAAGTTTGTTTCTCCCTTGCTACGATAAGACTAAATTATATTGAATTTTGTTTGAAGTGTCAATAAAGAAAGGGTTAAACATCTTCTATTTGTATTTTATTAGAAATGATATAAACAAAAGGATCTGTCATGTTAGAATAAATTCCAACCTATCCTTTTCTGGATTAATCTTCAGACATACTCACTCTTGCCTACAACTAGCTAGCTCTCTGTCCTTCGCTCCAGCCTTCCCAGCAGGATTACTGCGGAGGCTGAAGACAGGCTATCGGGAGGAATTTCTCACTGAGGAGGAGGGAGGAAGTTTTGCGGACAGAACCGGGTTGCACTGAAGAGTGGGGTAGGCGGGCACACAGTCAGTTGGCCAGTTTCACAAGTGAAAGTTGAAAGATACCCATAAGACAGTAGCTGCCCAAGGTCAGGCTGTGATAGACGCAGTAGCCAGGACATTGTTTTTAATCAAGATTTGTGACAAAATCTACCTTTTAATACTGTGGCTTGGAACTTTGAGTAGCTCTTCTACCTGAAGACTCTGCTTTTCTGTATTGGCAGGAGCCAGCCCACCCTGTTTAATGGGTGTAAGGGGGTGGGGGTGTGGTTTTCCTGGAGTGGCAGCTCTCTTGGCCTGAGGCCGGGTGTCCTGCAGATGCTTTAGCTTGGGGATGCTCCGAGAGGCTCAATGTTCTGTGTTTATTAAACTCAGTGTTCGGAATTTAATGTAGGAGGCAGGACCTCACTGGCGCTTTTTGTGAGTTGGGTTATAGGTTGGAAAAAGGGTAAAACAAAGGCTAGTACCTCATTCCTGTGGCAGGGGGAGAGGGGAAGTCAAGGAATGACTTTTTTTTGTAGGTTTTGTAACAGAACAATGTTAAAAGATATGCGTAGTTCAGTTTGAGATAGGTCATAGGAATTCATTATTTTAAATCTGTAAAGTGCTTTGATAATTGTGAGTTTTTTATTCTTAGGTTGTCTCTCTAGGAGCCTAGAATTTTAAGTAATGGGTAAAATATCTGGTTTATTATCAGAAGTGGAAAATGAGTATTAGAACTGTTATTAAATAATTTTCATCCTTTTGCTTTTCATATTTTATAGTTCCA